TTAACATGTGTGGAGGGTGAGTGGAGAAAGAAGTCATATTGCCTTCATACTTAATTTAGAAACTTATATAGAAATACAGCTTCAAGAGCCATGAAAGCTATAATTGTGATTTGTAAGTAGTTTAGAAGCACAGTGCTTTATTTTTTAAAAATAAGTAGCAGACGGAAACAGTAACATTTATTTTTTTCTAAGGCGCATAAGACGTTACAATTATCTACTCAGAAATTTTATGAACCAGGGGAGAATAATATCTCAGATAACACGATCCAAAGGAAGTGGCAGGATTAAAAATAACGTCAAATTGAGAGACATAATTTAAAAAATTGCTATTAATATTCGTAATTTTATAAAGACAGCTGTTGACGAGCGAAAAATGAGTCTGAATAGTCAGCAACATCAAGTAGATCGATAACGAGTAAATTTTTTAAATCTACCCTGTGACATCTTTGGTAATCCCAAAAACTGCAGAAGCTAGGCTTATAAGCGTGTGGGACTCAAGAAAGCAGCAAAAAGTAAGGAACCAAATAACATACCTGTTTTTTTACGAATTAGACTATTTCAAAAGGTAGAAGGTGCCATAAAATGTTTGAGTGACTATAGTGAAAGCTTCCTGTAGGTCAATTAGTATGTACTTGGGTAGATGGTAAGCTCGCTAGTTATACTGTGAAAAGTAAGTATACTGCTAGCGCATACCGAATAGTATTGGGATGTAACACTCAAAAAGTATTCATAGAAGTATACCAATACAATAGTGGTGAAGTTTCCTTCCTAATAAGAAAATCCATAAAAAGTTTTTTTTTAAAGTTATAAGAAATCTTGAGACTACAGCATTGCACAGTAGAAAAAAAAAGTCTGCAGTAGTGCACGATACCGATGAACATTATACTTCACATGCCAAAAAACTGAATATGAATTGAATGAAATTCAATACAAAAATCAAATTATATTTTCAGATGTTGAAAACAAAAGACGATTTGTGCAAGGATACATAATAAAGAACAAGAAAGCTACATCTTTGCATGAAGTAGATTTTATTAAAGCGATCCTCATTAAGAGCATCTCATTTTTCTGCCATTGTGCAAGGTAAAAAAATAACAAGCTGTGAATTAAAGGATATAAATATTTCGTATCGGTCCGCAAATATCATACCTGAAGTACATTAAAATGATTTAAAAGCAAAATGGACAGAAGACACAAAACAAGACTTAAGACATTTTAACAAAGAAGAATGATGTTACGTATGAATTGAAGTAAAGTCTCACAGAAATTTATCGTATCAACATGTAAATCAACAAAGTTAAATAATGGTATGCATGAATTGTAGCAAAGTACCAAAGAATTTTATTACATTTAGCGAGAGTTGCACGTGACAAGAAGATCGTACTGTATATTTGTTGTATTGGCAAAAATAAATACGATTTACGCTAAGGTCTCCAACTGTAAAACTGTAAAAGAAACAACGAGGGGTAACAAAACAAAAAAAACATGGAAGGGAAAAAAATACTGATATTACTAACACTTAATGTAAAAAGCACAGTAAAATAGTGTGTAGTTAATAAAAGTTGAAAAAGACATTTACAGTTTTCATTATAACTTAATTTTTGAACGATGTAATAAAAGCACGTATGGACTGAATAAAGATTCTCGTTACGTACAAAACTTTTCTTAAACTAGTAAAATTTAGGTTATCGATGTTAAAAGTCATTTGGAAGTTTCACATTTATGTTGAATGATGATTTACTCGATGCTTTTTTACGCCCCATTTTACGAACATTAAACTGTGGCTTTCACGCTTCTAAAAAAAATATATGGTATTGACCAAACACGTCAACGCCGCCGCGCCGTCTCAGTGATTCTCCTGCTTGTAGTGTGCTGTCTTCATATATATCATCATGTACTTTAAAATCATTCGGCTTGTCAATTAATAAATTTGTTACGTAGTTAGATTCTTGCATTTGAGATCAGGCCCTGTACATCAAAGATTTGGAGCATGATAAGTGTTTCGTTTTAAGTTGCACATTGATCGTTGATTCCAATTTTTAATCAAGAAGAGATATTGATCTTGACTCTTATGAAAAACAATTTCTTGTTCATAAAGTAAAAAGTTTCGGCTTCTTATCAAAATATGTGCAAATAGGTTATGTTGGGTAAAGTATTTATATTATTTTGGTACTTTATGGTATATTATAGGTATTAATAAACAAATGGTGAACAATTCTAGATAGCTCGAAAATTTCACTTGGCATGCTATTTTAAGCTCAGAAATTGGATCAAGTATTTGAGGACATGTAAAATAGCCAGCTTAAGGATCTAATGTAGATTCAAAAGCGCAGTGAAGCAGCTGATGTTCAGGATATAATGGTGACCCTTTGCAAATTGATTATTTGTATTATATACAACCACAAAGTAATGTTGACAGTAACATCGAAGAGACGCTCATTCTATTAGGACTGGTGAAAAGCACACTAGATAATAGTAAGTTATTTTAATGTCTTACTGAATTTTGTACTTCTTACTTCATTCTATTGCTGTTCTTTGAATTAATTTATATTATTTTTGTATAACAAATATTTTATGACAAAGATTTTTTATATAACCGATACGGTGGTACAGGGATAGAGTTGCAGTTTCGTTGGTCAACAAAGTTAAGGGGCGTTAGGTGCGGTAAGTGCTTGAATAAGTGAGTGTGAGTGATTATTTGAAAACTCCCCATTTGCTTTGTTGGTTAACTTTTCGAATTCAATTTTCTGTTTCTCAGTCATCATAGACAACGTGAGTGAGAGGTGTGCATAAGTTATTTTTAGTGTCTTTCACTCAGACATAGACACCTGGTTAGGTCTCGGGCAATACACTAAGCTGTCATGAAAAAGGTTTTTCCTCATCAATAGGACTTGTCTAGATCAAAGTGTAGCAGCTGTTGTTAGTAACCCCCTTTGCCCTTCCTATGTCTCTATCCTCTTTGAAGTGCTAAATTCTCCAAGTAGTATCTATAGGATAAAGCCAGATATAAAGCACTATACAATAAACAAATTTAATTAAATGTACATATTTTTTGCATATGTGTGTGTGCATTTTACATGCACTTTCACGTCAGATTGTTTGGCACAGTAGTCTGTACAAAAAAATTCTTTTGCAGACAAACTCCATTACGTGCACTCAATTAGTGTCCAGCGTTTCTATACGTATTTCTCCAACTAGTAATGAAGTGCTATTGAGTACGGTAGTTGAATAATAATGGATACCAAAAAATCAGTAT